ATGTCAATCTGTCATTGAATGGGCCATGAAATCCAGAGCAATGTTTTATGGCTGAGCTCCTCTTAAACATGAAAGCTAATTAAGGTAAAATTACTCTGATGCATTAAAACAATATGCATGAGTGGTTTTAAACAGGGACCAAGAGAGACCAGTGCCCCTTTAGAACTGTCCAGGGTCATCGTTACACTGCAAAAACTATGTAAAAAAAAAAAAAGAGTAAACATTTCTCAAAATAAGTGTAACTACCCTTAATTTGAGCAGGTAAATAAGATGATCTGCCAATAGAATAGGTATTTTTACCATTAAAATAAGATACTAAGATATTATACCTTTGAAATAAGAGACTGCTGTTTTTTTTATTATTTTAAATCTTAATAGTCTTGTTCTATTGGCAAAGTGCCTCATTTACCTTATTCTTTTTTTTAATAAAAATTAAAACTATCACATATGAGCAAAATTACTCAAGTATTTGGTAGATCATTTTATTTATGTGCTCAAATTAAGGGCAAATACATTTATTGTGTATCGCACTGTTTTAGATTGTTTGTTGCAGTGTAACACAATCAATTTCTTATGATCATATGCGCTGTAAGACAATTTAATTTAATTAATTTAATTTAACAATTAATTTGAATTTACAGTAGACTTTGAGCCTTTTCATTTTTGTTTGTTCATTCTTTTGTTCAGTTGCGCAATAAAACACATAGCCCTTTTATCCATTATTAATTGATTCTATAGAGCAATATTGAATTTTTGTTCTTGTTGATAATCTGAGACGTTTAAGTGCAACTGAACAAAAAAAAAAAAAAAACTAAAACTAAAGAAATCTGGAAAGGCAAAACCTCCACCTTTATAAAACAACGTACACAAGACATTTATGACACGTTTTACCTTCAGCCCACGCGCCACATGCAGAGCCACCTTTTCTATGTTAGCAGCGGGAAAAGCTTTTAGTCCATTCTCCCTCCGCTTCTCTATCAGGTCGTTGAGGGACTGCTCTCCTCCATATTCCATAGCCAGACACTTTGAACCGTCTTTTGCTGTAGCAAAGGCACGGAAACCTTGGCAAAGACACAAAGAGGCACAGAATTACCTCTAGGGACTCACACTGGTTCAGAGTCAAGAAACAAAAGGACCCATGAAACAATTTATCTCCATGTTCATGAGATTTAACAAACTGATGAAAGGAGGCTTAATGCATATCAAGTCATTATATATTGTGGGGTGGGAAATATTCTGTGGAAAAAAGTAATGATCCTGTTTCTACATTTCTAGGGCTGTGTCTGAATGTCCGCCCGAACCAGTGTATAGGACACTATATAGAGGTTATGCCATTTTAGATGAGTGTCCGAATGTCTAGTGGATGAAAAAGTAGTGGACTCGAAATTTCCCAGAACACACATTGAAAAGTAGTGATCATCCATGGTCACTTGACAAGCAGATATATCCCAGAATGCTTTGCAAGGAAAGCCGAAAGCGTCATAGGATTTGTTATCAAATAACAAAGATGGTGCAGGCACCGTGCAGGAAGGCAGAGTTACGTGACAAACCTGAAGCGAAAACTAGTGATCATCTGTCAGAAAGGTCAGTTAACTGAGTTCACCATAAAGTCCACCTTATAGTCCCCACTCTATATAATGATTGAGAAATTTAGGAGTTAGGATGGACGTCCAGACACAGTACTCTAGGTGCCTTTTCATAGAATCCAAACATCCAGTCTTTTCCTTGTAAGGTTTTAAGCACATAAGAGTATTTACCATTTATAACATTTGATGTAGATTTCCCTGAACCCTTTTTCTTAATAAAGTAAAAAAATATATTCTAACCCATCACGTTAAAAAATGTTTTGTCTTACCAACAATATTTGGGTGATCTATTCCTTTCAGGATCTCTGCCTCCTCATTTAGACGCAGCTGGTAAACAGCCGACTGTTGGGATGCACATTTACTGTTGATCTTCTTCACAGCCCATGGAGATGAGTTGAGCTTCCCCACTCTGGATTCAAAATAGAAAATGTGTCACTGCAACACCTGATCTCATGCAACAAATTAGAGAATTAACCTCCTGGGCTTTTCTGTTGATAAGCACCGATTTAACAATAAGAATTGCAGCATAAAAGAGATAAAGATGAATAAGTAAACGTTGAAGTTAACTCCTTCAGGCTGTGAATGTTCCCTTACAAAGTTCAAGGTAATAAGCAATTAATGTAGACCTGTTTCTTAAACTGAGATGTAATTTAAAGAGCAATGAATATAACGCAGTGTTTCTTAATTAGGGGGTGCAAGAAATTATAATTAAATGAAAGAAGTTACATGTTCTACTAGGACTTTTGTCAGGGACTAATTCTTAGTAATGAGGTCTGCAACCTTTTAAACTCAAAGAGCCACAATATGAAATAAAGGTTAAAGAGCCCCAATAAAGATTTAATAAATACTAAAAGTCAAATAATTAAAACTAAGATTCTCTACTTTTAAAATTTAAAAGAAAAATAATAATTTCACTGTTAACAAAGGAGAAAAATCCTTTATATGTTAGAACAGGTTTTATACAGGAATGAGTAACTATAATTTGATGCTTTTTAATGCTCTTTTAAATAATATTTAATGCCATCAACAAGTACCCATGACTCTTAGACTCTAATTATATATATCTTTAACGTCGAATTCCTCATTTTCCAGCTACTTTTGTTAAAATTTGCATTTTCCCCATTCTCTGCGTTTCCATTCTGGCCAAATATATCTGACGAAACTGATTTTATAAATTTTGCTTTTTAAATAAAGCATTTTAAATGGCATTATAATCACATTTAATGAATTTTAATGCCTATTAAGGCCTTCATTTAAAAACTAAATTAATGACCCGCAGAAACCCTGTAGAATGAGTCAAGCTGGGTGACCCACCATAAATATGAAAGACAAAGAACGACACTAAGGCTACGTTCACACCGCAGCCTGTGACCTAAATCCGATTTCTTTGGCCCATATGCGACCTGTGTCTGAATTTTTTCATGGCAGTCTGAACAACACAGATCTGATTTTTTTTACAATGAGACCCAGGCCGCTTGGCTATGTGGTCCTGAATCTGATAAGAATCTGATCTTTTCAAATGTGAACAGTGTCTGAACGGCCAGGTTGCATTCATCCGACCTGAATGCCATTAATAGCCAACAAAGGTCACTATTCTGGGTCTTCCTTTGAAGAAGCAGCAAGAAAAACAACAACCACGGCAGACGATGATGCGGAGAGCAATATTTATGTTTAACCATCTTGAAAAGATTGTGTTTTTATCGTTGGGAAAGATCGCTAGATGCGATACCGGCACTACCATCCATGCTTACTTCCATAAACACAAAGCACGCTGGCCTGTGATGTCATTGCATCCTCTACTGCGCATGCGGGACACTTGCATTGTATGACTGCAGTTCACACAGGAGATCACATACAAGTTGCATGTATTTGGAAATGTGAACGGCAACGCAAAAAAATTTGATTTCACAAAAAATCGGAATTGAGCATGAAGGCCTGAAGTGTGAATGTAGCCCAAAAATATAAACATATGGTTACAGCTAGGATCTGTACTGGTCTGTTGTGGTGAAGAGCGAGCTGAGCCAAAAAGCAAAGCTCTTGATTTACAGGTCGATCTACGTTCCTGCCCTCATCTATGGTCATGAGCTTTGGGTCATGACCGAAAGAACGAGATCCCGGATACAAGGGGCTGAAATTACTTTTCTTTTTTTTTGTGTGTCTGGGCGCTCCCTTAGAGATAGGGAGAGGAGCTTAGTCATCTGGGGAGGACTCAGAGTAGAGCTGCTGCTCCTCCACATCGAGAGGAGCCAGTTGAGGTGGCTCGGGCATCTGATTAGGATGCCTCCTGGACGTCTCCCTGGTGAGGTGTTCCAGGCATGTCCCACCAGGAGGAGGCCCAGGGGGAGACCCAGGATGCGCTGGAGGGACTATGTTTCTCGGCTGGCCTGGGAGCGCCTTGGGATTCCTCCAGAGGAGCTGGCCAAAGTGGCTGGAGAGAGGGACGTCTGGGCCTCCCTACTGAAGTTACCACAGACTCTTGTACCACTGGATGTGCCATTTCAGATATTATATGCAGTGTTTAATTATAACCACTGTTGACTTGACAATTAAAATCATTTCTTATTCAGTCTGGGTTAGAGCCACATGCTGCAGATCCATGTCCCTCAACCAATCATACTTCAGCTCACTTGTCAGGGAACAATATTTTGAGCTAAAGTGGCTGGATAGATAACCTAAAACTACAGCAGAAGGTTGCAACAGTGATATCAGTAAAAATCAGCTCAGTTGACCTAATATGCTTCTTATTTTACCAATACACAATGTCCTCTCCTCTCCTTTGTGTTTTAACATTTCAGGTATTCGTCATTAATGATCATTGAGAACAGTTAGTCCATTCAGCAGGATAAATATATTATCAATATGCAGTGTCTGGGTCTGACATTCAAAAATATGCTTCCAACAATGCATTCAAGTTGCCTTTTGTGATTGCACCCGTTTCCCTGTAAAACAGTTTTGTGTTTCCATCAAGGTTCACTTGGATTAAATCTGCACTAATACATAAACTAACAAGCTGAACATTTATAAACTGTGTAAGTCGGTTTTAAGGATCTTTTCCAACCTGTTCATCAGATAAACACTGACTCCAGTTCCACAACCCAACTTCTTCATGAATGGTGAAGCAGGAATGGTGATAGGGGTCCCACCTCCACTGCTCCCAGAACTCCTCACCCTGCCTCTGATGGGGGTTTTAAACACGCTGTAATCATTAGTAGAGGCCATCCTAGGAAACAAAAACAAATCAAAACAATATAAGAAACATTTCATGACAAACATTTAAAAAATGTCCCTCTTTCTTTAAATTTAAAGTACAAAAATAAAGCTCAGCTGTTTCAAAAATCCAAATGTGATGCCAGGACGAAAGAAACATCAAATGTACGAATTCAGAGGGAGGTGTCCATTTTCACGAAAAGAAAAAACAATCACATTTAAGTGGGTGGTACATTTTAGGAGAGAAAAAAAAGTAAAATGTTTTTCGTTAAATCATGAAATCAATCAGGCAGTATTTATTTTTTCCCCAAAAAAAGTTATAACAGCAATAAACCTGGAACATTTTTCGAAAATTAAAGCAAAGGAACCGACCCTCGCCTTAAACAATGATAAAAAAAAAAAAAAAAACGGATGCTAAGTTTCGGCTTTTAATTAGATTATCGTCTAACACATTAATAAGGTTAATGTAGAGGTAACAGAATTAATCGCGTATTTAATCTGACATTTAAAACGTCTTTTTTTTTCAGTAAATTTAAAGTTACCTCGGTTTTCTCTAAACTCAAGCGAAGTGCCAACCGCGCAGTACATTCAAAATAACGGCTGGTAGGTATGGACGCCGAAGAGGGACAAAAATCTTTCTGCTTCTTTTTCTTCTTCTTCTTCTGTTTTTGTCGCAAGCAAATTCTCAGCGCATTGCTGACTCCATAGGTCGGGAGGAGGAGAGGGGATAGATGTTAGACTTGCTTAAAGCGCAGCAAAGAAATTTTTTTTTTTTTTTTCAGTAAATGGGACCAAAAACGAGGATTAGCAAAACATTGAAACATAGAAATTTAAAGAACAACAGGGAGGAGAGGTTAAGGCTAGATGATATAACCAAAAGAGAATAGGTGATTTTATAAAGTCACAGAATAAAAAAAAAAAAGAAGAATAGTAATTTATATAAGGGGTACGTTTTAAACATCCTGAACGTTCATCTCTGTGCCATAATATTATCTTAAAGACTGAATGAGTTATTTTAAATACCCCTCTTCAGATCTGAATTTATCTACAAATTATTAGTGGCAAAAAAGTGACAAAAGCGCGAGTACACATTGCCAGTACAATGTGTATTAAAAAACTTAGTAAGAATGGAAATGTACTTGTTGGACACGAAGTCCAGAGGAGAAGAAGTGTAATTCAAGTGTTCACCAACAGGGGTCAGTCATGCATTTTTAGATTGGATTTGGAAGCAGACCTGTGACAGGTGTATCTAATAAGTATGGCATTTTCATTTTTCTAAAAACTCAATTGGTTCTCATCAAGAAGTAAATAGGATCACGGTTTTTGTATTCAGTTATTTATCTGGTGTTTACAGCAGCAAAAAGATTGTAGAAAGAATGGTCACAAAAATGTGGAACTTAGAAAAATGTATAGCAATAACATACTAGCGAAGAGTTAAAAGATAAACAATAAAATACTGTACTGTTTTAAGTATATAAATATAGTATTTATGTATATATATATAGTATATATATATATATATATATATATATATATATATATATATATATATATATATATATATATATATATATATATATATATATATATATATATATATATATATATATATATATATATAAAAAAGTAATGATTTACCTCAAATTGCAATCAAAAGATAAATTTATTTGCTTTTTATTTGATGCATTTATTTACATTACCACAATTGATATTGCAGCTGATCTTTCCAAATATAACAGGATAGCAAATTTACTGTTTGCTTTACTCAAAATAGCAGGTAATGACAAGCAATGTTAATTAGTAAGCACACTTTTACTGCTATGACCTCCCACAAACCTGATTTACCCAGACACTACCTTCTGGCAGAAACCCTTGAAAATCTGAGCCCACTCTTCTTGTAACTGCCTTATTTACATTTTTAGTAGATTGCAAGTGCCAACTATGATCTTAACTCCAGGTATTTTCCAGGATCCCTGAAACTATGACATATTTGACTTTGAGGTGTGGTTATATTTATTTTACTGTTCAAATTTCTGATTATGTGCAAACATAAACTTCTCTACAGATGGCCAGAGATGGGTAGAGTACCCAAAAGTTGTACTCAAGTAAGAGTAGCACTACTTACTCAAGTAAAAGCAAAAAGTAAAAAGTAGTCATCCAAGAAATTAATTAAGTAAAAGTAAAAAAGTATTTTGTAGAAAGGCTACTTTTGTACTGAGTGTTGGATAATACACATCAGATTTAATGTTTATAAATTATGCTGGCAAACAGACTTTATGTGCAAGTGCTGGAATTTTAAAGTCTAAGATTGATACAGAATAGAATTAAATGTCATGAATATAAAAAATAAATTTGTGCAGAAGAAATACCTTCTCCAATTAAAAAAAAAAAAAAATAGTACTTAGAAAAACAGTCCTTACAATAAGAAATGTATATATGTTAGTACAGGGTAGCAAACTTCTAGTGTTAATATCTACTGTTTTCTATTTGTTTACCTGATTTTTGAATAATTCAAATTACAGACGACTGTTGTCAGATTTTACCTATTTGGGAGAAGAATTTTCAAGAATATTACTCAAGGAAAAGTAAGAAGTACGGCACAGTCAACCTTCTCCATCCCAGTCTCAGGTCTTTTGCAGACTCCAACATGTTTTCTTCCAGAATGATCTTGTATTTGGCTCCATCCACCTTCCCATCAGTTTTAACCATCTGACCTGCTGAAGAAAAGCAGACCCAGACCATGTGCTGCCACCACCGTGTTTGACAGTGGGGATGGTGTGTTCAGGGTGACAAGCTGTGTTGCTTTTATGCCAAACATAACATTTTGCCTTGTTGCCAAAAAATTGGTTTTGGTTTTGGTTTTGGTTTCATCTGACCAGAGCCCCTTCTTCCACATGTTTGCTGTGTCTTCCAGGTGGCTTGTTGAAAACTTTATAAGACTTTTTATGGATATCTTTAAGAAATGGCTTTCCTCCATAAAGGGCAGATTTGTGCAGTATATGACTGATTATTGTCCTATTGACAGAGTCTCCCACCTCAGCTGTAAACCTCCGGATCTCTTGAAAAGTTCAAGGGGGGGCGAATACTTTTGCCATTTTGGGTGACCTGTCTCTTTGAAAACATAGTTTTTTTTTTTTTTAACTTCTATGCATTTTCTGTGGAAAAATATAATTGTATTTGACCTACCTACACTTCTAAATGTACGTCAGATTACTGTCATCAGTTTAAATATTTGTGTTCTCTCTTAGGCAAACTACATTTAACAAGTAAGACCCTTTATTAATTGCGTCTGTTGCTCTGAAAACACAGAATGTAACGTTTAAGTCGAAAATGTTTTGTATGTGCCTATTTCCAAATCAACATTAAGGCTTTGCTGAAAAGCAGCCTGTCTTCGGTGATGAAGTGGGAATGAGTCTGGACTTATGCAATCACATTTTTAATAGATTTTTTTCCTAACTTTTCTGCAAACAGTGCAGCTAAATCTGCTCATAGTGTGAAAGTAGAACCATTTAACTGTGAGGAAGATGAACAGGAATGTGGCCTGATGACAAATGGACATGGCAGGGAAGAATGGGACTTTCTACTTTTCCCACCAAGTTCCTTTTCCCCTCGGAGCAAAATGAGATCATGTTTGTGATCTGCAGCCCATGCTAGGGTGCATATTATAGCTGGGTTGTGTTCTCATCACTGACGACTAAGAGAGGTACAGTCCTCTTCAGTGGCCTGACTTACTGTCTTTTTTGATGAAGCAGATAAATGGTGATATCTGGAAACACCTTTACCCATAACTTTATCATTAGCAATAAAGAAAAAAAAGCTTGAGTTATCAAGACAGGTCATGAATCAAATTCTGATTGTGGTTCATACATCTGGAATCTCATAGTACAGCAACACATTGAAAACAATGCTGTAACCCAGCTCATTTTACCAAGTCTTCTGTACCAAATAGCTTTCATAATTTTCTTACAATTAGTTTGCCAACTTTGACACATTGACTTATCCCATTTATAAACAAAATAAACAAATCTGAATAAGCACTTAGATTTAAAATCAGGAGTATATTGCTTGTTTTCTATTTTGTTTTTAGGGAGATTAGGTGGACTTATTAATTGGTATGCAGGTCTGCAGAAACATTTCCTGCCCTATTTAAAATCACTTATATAAAAACCTTGATGTACAACTTCAGCACTTCAAATTTCACCTAAAAACATAATTATTTTAATACTGACATCCAAATCTGATCTCACATACTTAATTGGTGTTTCTATAAAGAGATACAGTATACCCTAAAGGCTGTTGCTGGTCTTACCAGTCAAGTTTACCATTAACCCAACATATGCACAAAGTTTAAAAGAAATGCTTTTGTAGCAATGGCTTTTATAATGATGTTCACAGTGAAACGGAGACATTAAAGGCTGTTGCAGCTCTTTTCCTGTCGTGGACATCTGCCATGGTGAGGAGCACTGCATAAGCTGAATCCTAATTGGGCAAACTCGTAAGGACAATTAAGCAAAAGTACATCAGAATAGGACTGGCTGTAAGGAAGGAGGTACAGTAGGAGGTACACAATCATTTGCATGGCAGGAAGTTTAGGCAGGGCTGACTGTACCTTTTGTGACACATGCAAATTAGCACATCTTAACGTGTTTTGGGTTTAATAAAAGACAGCTTCAGCCGTTCGCTACATTTATATAATTTGCATTTTTTTGTAGTTCTTTTGGCTGCAGTCCCAACTTGACTACCATCATCCATGCACGATTCTGTCCAGGGTTGATGTCCAGAAAGCTAAAGGCCAGCACAGCAGTCTGGAGTTTGTTTCCTGCCCAGGATAGTGTTCTTACTGTTGACCACATGGAAGATAATGGAATAGAAGCTAGCAACAAGAAGTATGAGGTACAGCGAGTGCTACTAGGATTCAGCTCTATAGACTGCAGCTAATGCTTTAGTCAATAAAGAATGTTGAAGCAGTGCACTTATTTTATGAATCTTGGGGTTCTTTATGTACATTTTAACAAAACATGGATAACTGTAATACTTTAAAAAATTTTACAAGATAAATTATTAAGGACATATTTTACTAAATATTAATAGAAGTCGCTTTATTATCAAAGCTGTTTGTGGGTGGAAAACATGAGTTAATTAACAACAGTGGTGCTGTATATATTGCTTTTAAAATATGGTGAAACATTGCTGCAATATGGAGAAGGTTAATTGGAAAACTGACAGTGCCAATATAGACCATGCCATACTGATAAAATCTAATCATGGTACTCTACTAAATGAAAAACACACTGAAACTCAACAATGGTCTGTTGAAAAATAATTCTGATATGGATTTGGGACAAATGACCACATCTAACTTTGAATTTATCAGTTCTTCTCTTGCTACAACTGCTGTCGGAAGACTGCAATTCAGGTGACTATCTCTTGAAGCTCATCATCAGAATGCCAAGAGTGTGTGAAGCAGCAATCACAGCAAAAGGTGGCTACTTTGAAGAACCTAGAATAGAAGACATATTTTCAGTTGTTTTTACACTTTTTTTGTCAAGTATATAATTGCTCACGAGTTAATTCATAGTTTTGATGCCTTCAGTGTGAATCTTCAATTTTCAGACTCATGAAAATAAAGAAAACATTTTAATTGAGAAGGTGTGTCCAAACTTTTGGTCTATACTGTACGTTGATTGTAAGTTACTCATAAGTCATGGCGTCTAGCTTGTCCAAAATCTATGACTAATGTGTGCATAACTTATGTGTTAAGAACTTATCTCCAAGGAAAATCAACGTATCTAACGTGTTCCAGACAACCACTGAACGTGTTTCCATCTTACAGCTAGTCTTTAATGGCGTATTGGCAGAGTTTTGGTATAAAAGGGGGTTCAAAGGAGGAAACTGTCAGTTCTCCTCCAGACTTGATCCCAATCATAGGGTGAGTGAAAATGTGTGATAGATCCTCCCTGTGTTCACCCCCACGACCAACAAACTTACCAGCAGACATGACGCTGAATCTGCTGCGACTGCAGTCCTTCTTTCTTTCTCTTTCTTTTCTTCTTTTTGGGCAGGCGTTAAATAGCAGCTAGGTGTATAGTTGCTCCCCTCAGGTGCAGCGATGCACCTGAGGGGAGTAGCTTTAACTGATGCTTTGTAATGCCCATGAAATTATGCTTGTTCATCATTTCATGGGCATCACGCTGCCGTATGTTATGCATAAGTTAGGCTGTCATTGGACATCATTTCTGGACTTATTTAAAAAATAAATAGAAAGTTCAGTGTATGCCAGCGTTAGAGAAGATTCTGTGATGTCGGACATGCGCTGGCTAAATCGGCAAGGTGAGACAGGGCCCTCGGCAAAGAACCTTAACCCCACACTGCTCCCCGGGCGCCGCAAATGGCAGTCCACTGCTCCCCAAGCAGATGGGTTAAATGCAGAGAGGGAATTTCGTTGCACTGTACTTGTGACAGTGTAATGACGATAAAAGTGCTGCAAAATACGGGCCATTACAGTTCTTGCACCCCTGGTGGCCAGAAGTTACAATGTGTGCCTTTAAAGCAGTGGCTTAGATAAAAAAACAAAAACAAACAAACATTACAGTAAAATGGAGCACCGTCTACACATATGGACATTGTGAACCATAACAGAACAAGAAGTCCAAACATTCTTAAACGTCAAATTTATTGAATGTTAAACATGCAATCACTGCTGTTAGAAAAACTGCTTGAATCTACGAATATATGTCAGTTTTTTATTTAAGGCAATATTGCAAAGGATGTTGAAATGTACATAATCAGGTAAATTTATATTTACTTTAGACATACTTCGATGACATGCAGTAAGAAAAACACCTCAGCATTTTTTCCCCCGCGTTTTTTTATTTCAGAGTTAGAGGCCAGTGAAGAAGTTCTGTCACATTCAGCTGCTGCCTTTCAGATTTAGTTTTATTGTTTCCTGTGCTGAGGGAACACGTTCATCATCTTCTTCTGGCTGACATCTGTAGAGAAACTGGAGCAAATACAAAACTGCTGCACTGAGATTCATGCAGATTTATTTCCAGATAACAGCTGGACCTCAATTAGCCAATGTTAAGAAGAGCTTATTCCATTTTTCTTTTAATATAACTGGTGTTTTCACCAAGATTAAGAACATTTTTACTTACAGAAAATAATCAGTTATATGTAAAAATATTCTTCACAAAACTAAACAAGACATATCAATACCAGGTATTTACCTGGTAAAAAACCTGACTGAAGGTTTTTCATACCAATTTTGTGGAGAAAGGTTTCTAACATTACAACTAAAATACTGCAGTTTTCATAGTAAATAAACGTTTTATGAAACATACATAAAATGTTTTAACTAGCCATAGGTCAGGGGCAGATTTTATTTGGAAAAATTTAATTAAAGTACAGGGAGTTTACAGCTTTTACTTTTAATTGAAGGTAATAACATATAACACAAGATAACATGATAATGATAAAATAGATATAAAGTAATGATTCTAGTTATGTCATCTATGCCATTTATTGTTTAATGCTGTTTTGATTTTGAGTCAAAGTTAAGTAAAAATGTGAAATTAATCCTCCTGCCTTTGTGTTCTTAAGGCCTCTCCATAAAGCATATGAAAAGTTGATATTAGCAGGATAATTAGAAAGGCTATCTGATAAGCTAGCCAGCGAGGAGTCTCATAGTTTATATGGAGTTTCATAGTTTATATGGAGTTTCATAGTTTATATGGCAGGGCGCTCCTTTAGTTTCCATGTCCTTAAACATTCTTGTCGCAAGGGGAAATATTTCCAAACAGCTTTGACCTTCTTTCAAGTGAAGGAAAGGTTCAATGTTTTTCTATCACCTGACTATCCAGTAATGTACAGCAACAGGTGGGGGCAGGTGCCTCGCCTCTCTTCCAAAGCAAGGTTTAAAAAAACATTTAAGTCATAAAATGTAAGATGTCAAATTTATACCAAGATACTAATGACTGACTCGTATCTAATACTAATAAAAGTTTTTGTTTTCTCAAGTATCAGATGTGACAGTCTAATCAGAGATATTTGTGATGGTTTCAAGGACACAATAATTCTAGGCATGTAGTACTTAAAAAACAAAAAACAAAATCACAAAGGCAGCCTATTGTCTAACACTACCTAAATGCCAGATATTCATTTGGAAGACTTCAGCCTATGTAGTATTGCTGCATGAATTCAGTTTTTTTTTTTAATCTGCCATTTTTAAAACAGATTTTGACATTTCTTTTCTCGCTGCATGCAAGATAAAAAGTCAAACTCTGCTTTAAAATGTTCATTTCTTGCACAGAAACAATTGAAGGAACATCATGTGGGTATATTTCAGATAAAAGTCTTTAAGGCAGAATTTCTGTGCTTCAATTTGCCCAAATGTCAAGGTGATCTAGAATCAGGTCCTGATTCTGGCATAAGATTCTTTTAGATCTACAGAGCTTTAGTTCTCAAGCAAAGGGAGAACTTTGGAGGTGCTGTGGTGTTTTAGATTTAGGTTCAGCTATAAAGCAAATCTGAGGGACATAAAATGCTGAAGCAGATTAATGAGATTTGTTTGGAGAACTGATGCTTCAGCAATCCAATGTTTGGCAGATTGACAAACCCACCATTATAAATCAGACAATGCAATCCATCCATCTGTTTATACTCATTTGGACTTCATCATCATCATCTGTTTACTAAATTACTGTTAACCCTTAAGATTCTTCTTTTATGTAAATGCACCTCAAATTAAGCATTTAGTTATAATTTTCATACAATAGAAATAAAATGATAACTTATCTACAAAACAGTAGAGATATATATGTATTGTTGAAAAAGCATTTTCTTCACATTACCTTACAATCACACTTCTTCACATTTTACTGGACTTAAGGTGATGGACTAGTTTACAATAGAATAAAAAGAAAACAGTTTACCCAAAACCTTTTTATTGATCACATGTGTAAACAGCAGTGTAGATTTTAATGCAGCCCTTGCTATTGTGACACCCCTAAATAAAGTAGAGCACCACCACTTCCTTCAGAAGTCACCTAAATAGTAAATACAATCCGCCTTGGAAAAATTTAAAAAGGCACTCCAAATTAGCAAAAATATATTCTGTGTACACAGTATATGATGTTATTAAATGAGGTTCCACTAAATAGGCCCTAATGAACAGATAACATTTTAACAGAAGGAAACAAATAAAAACAAAAACACTGCTGCAGATTGTGGCATGAAGCAACAATATAAATGTACCCATATTTCTTATATTTCTTTTCAAAGAGACTGATTTACCTGTAGTCTTTTCAAGTGGTCATAGTTGCCAATATTGCAGACTTTGTGAAGGCCTTTCTAAGTTTTTCTTTGGGAGCCTGTTGTTATATTTTACGTCAATAATTTAAATTTATTGATCTCATATTGGAAAAATTTACATCTGCATTTAGCCCATCCCCTTGGGGAGCAGTGGGCTGCCATTGTGGGGCACCAGGGGAGCAGTGTGGGGTTAAGGGTCTTGCTCAGAGACACAGAGTGGCAGTCTGTGGGAGTGGGGCTCGGACTCAGGACCCCAGGATTCCAAGCTCTATGCCCTAAGCTCCCAAAGGAGCAAGATCCATTTGAGTCTTGGCCTTAAAAATCGAAATGGCATCAAACCTTCCTTTCTCTTAAAATTTCAAGTCCAACTTAAATCCATGCTTATTTTAAGTGACTTTTTATAGAATGTGAGTTGGTTTATTTTACCAAAGTATGTTTTATTCTGCTTTTATTTAGTTTTAGTTGTGCTTCTATTCTTAATAACATTTGTGTGAATTGATCTATTTTAGTGCTGCAGAACATTTTGATATTTTTTTCTAAAATATGCCAAATACACAGCACCGGTTTTAAAGCTAAAAAGATATTCTTATTTACGCCACAAGGCTATGTCCCTTTGCTCCCTCATGCTGCCATTATTAGGAACTACATCAAATATTAGTAAAAAAAACAACAACACCTAATTTTTAAAGAAAAAAAAATTGAAATCTAAAAAACAATGAAGATTTAGACCACTTGAAAAGAAAACAAACAAAGTCAGTCTTTTTGAAAAATATTGTTCCACATGATATCAATAAAAGCTGAACAGAAAGAGGTGTTAGACTGTTTTTTCTCTGCACGCTTTCAGCCATCTTTTGACCTGCAAACCGTCACTCAAAAAAATATCAAGCAAGGCAAAGAAAGTAAGTACAACCAAGCACTCTGCAGAAGCCCTTTGCATTTCTTGCTACAATAAGAAGCTGCTTGTAAAGGTAAATAAAAATAATTGACATTCTTAATTCTGTCTTAAAGAGCCATTTCATTCCCTTTGGAGGTGGATTAGATTATTATTTGAAATGTCCTGATTTGAAACTTAGTTCAATCCATCCTTATTGGGTAAGAAGAAGGCACTATCCAGACGAGCAATCTTTGCCTTTATAGTGCAGGTCATGAAAAATAACACTGTCCTTCAGTGTTAATAGTTGTCTTATGCTCACAAAACAACAAATAGGAATCAGTTTTTATCTGTTTAGATGACACCTTTTGGTGCCAAGTTGGCAAAAATACTGATAAAAAGGCACTCCTGTAAAAAGGTTTGACAAAAATGGTCCAAGAAAAGGCCTAGAATGGAGAAAAGTTTGCAGGCAGGAGTGATCCTGAATGATCAGACTGTACAGGTGACGCCGGCGTCCTCAACATGGCCGCAGTTCGTTTTGGCCCATCCAGGAAACCTACACTGGTGGATGGTGTCTTCAGTCCCTGTGCAAGCAACGTCATCCATCCAGATCACACCAGTCCCTGGAAGAAAGGGCAAAAATAATAGGTCATTCTAGGAAATTATCTTTTCATTCTAAATATTCAAGCAGAAATGTAATATTGTAAAGAAAAACTGAACAGTTTAAAGAAAGATTCTCATTTAATGGCCTAATAATGCCATTAAGCTGTTTTAATGTTTCAAAATATTAATAGTGAAATGAGAAGATGGGATGTGTTAGAATTGAATGATTCAATGGAAAAATTATGAATCGCAATCCAAAAGTAATCAAAACTGGAGTTTATGTTTGAATTTGTGACTAAGACAGCAAGTACTCTTATGCTTCCTCTGAGTATTGTTGATCAGATTATTTTCTATCCGGTTATAAAACACACAGTTCCAGCTGGTGAGCAGATATTTTGGCCACATTGTTTTCTCCATAAACTGTGGTTCCAGTTTGCAACAGCGCGGTCAACCGGAGGTTTCAAACAACGTAAACACTTCAGCTTTGCAGCATTTGAAGATGGCGGGAGAAGCCAGAACTCATAGTCTTTGATTGAACTCACATTTTGTTTCTTAGTTAAGGCTTTATGGCCGGTGTGTGAAAGGAAAGACAAACTCGACACAGATTTGACAGTTGGACAGCGTCACTTCTTGTGCTTGCACAGGATGGAAAATGAGGTAAGCTCTTTGGAGAGTGCACATGGTGCTGCTGCAGGTTGCAGATGACAGCCCAGCTGTTCTGCTGCTGCAAACTCTGTGGATTCACCTCAGAAGAAATAAACCTTTAAACTGCCTCTCTGGATCCTAAAACATTTACAGTGCTGTTAGCAGGATGATGTGACTTTTGTTCACACCAAGTTTATACCACTTCTTCCACGGTGAGGGATTTTAGGGGAATATCCAGGAGGGATTCAGTCACAGGCAAATTTGGAAGAGTGTTGTAATGACTCTAAAAGAACATTTTTGCCGTAAAAAAAAAAAAAATCAATCATACCTTATAATTATCCAAAATAATAATGGCTACTCTACCAACACACATATGTTTCTGAGTAATGGTACAAATCATTAAACCTTCAAAGCCCTTAGATACACACTGCCCTGCTATTTTACTAATTACACCTGTGAAATCGTATATTAATGCAAATAGTCAATTAGCCAACAAGCTGTCAGCTACTCAGAGCTTTTAGCCAGCTGGTTTGATGATCCCTGGCCCAAAACAAGTTGTTATCTGTAATCTTCTTGGAACCCACTCCAGTTTTTGTTAGAACCTTGTGTAAATATCCCTTTTTATTGACTACCTGAATGTCAGAACGTTAGCCTAACAGTGACTGAACTGACAACTCACAAAGGCCTCAGAGAGAGGTGATTTTCTGCATGTTTTAGATTGAATCCAGCTGTTTAATTTAGAGGGGAGTCCCCTGGAAGAAGGAAATGTTCTCTCCTCTAGCTGTTTTGGGTCAGAGTTTTTACTGGACTGATACTCTGGATGATGTAAGGCTAAATGGTGAATGACACAAAGACGAAGAAAGAAAAATAGATGTCACCCCTGAGAGTCTTTGGCATCGACATCTGGCTCAGAGTGTATTTCCATTAATGCTTCAATATCAAAGCCTGCATTGAAGGGTGACGATTAAGAGATACAGCTCGACATTATAAAATATTATAAAAAATACAAGCTAAATCTCTAAGAAATTTCTACATATGATCTGACTGAACACTTTTTGTTAGACTATATAAAGATTTATAAAAAAAATTGTGGTGTGCCTTTTTTGGTCAGATCCCTTTACTCTGGCATCCCCTGAACAAAGTCGAGCACAACCAGTTGTCTGTTTGTATAGCAGCAGCATATAGAAGCCAAAATATGTGTGGCAGAAAAGTACCATTGCGCATAACCGTGATTACACCATCCCTGCTGTGGTGGGAGTGTGAAGCTGTTAGTGGCAGCATCATGCATTTTTGGGGTAGGACAGGGTTGCTAGTCAGAGTTGGAGGAGGATGGACGATAAACACAGACAGATCCTGGAAGAAGAATCAATAGAGATAGTAAAAGGCTTGAGACTTGAGTCAACCTCCATCCTGACTAAAGTGTGATAAATATGGAGAAAAGAAAGGGAATGGGAAAAGCAATTCAGGGTCTAGCTATGCAAAGCTGACATAGATGTAGTCCTAAGGACTTGCTACTCGTGGGGATTGGAGTTAAGATAATTGAAGACAATTCAAGACTAGACAAGGCAAGAAATATTTTTACTATCCCACATTGGAGAATCTGTTAGTTTTCTTTACTTTGGTTACCAACAAAAACTAAACTTTTTTTAATTCACCATTTTGTATCACTTTACTAACCTACAACTCAAAATTCAATGAAATATTTAGTAGGTTGTGGTTTTAACGTTTAAAAAAAGCTTCATCATTATAATCTACACCTCCTTTTAAATAGATGAGAATTAGAATAAATTCCTGAAGTAATACCTCCTGAAGTAATGATTTTTTCTCTTAAAGGAACACAGATACATAGTATTCCAAGTTCTATTTTGTGTCCTATGGGGGATGAGCAACATCTTTTCATAGATGAACCAGATGCATCGTTTACTTACCCTGCCCAAAACGCCCGGTCTTATGGACAGCTGCTGCTCCCCTGTATCCCAGCATCCTACAGACGACATCTCCATCCTTTTTGTCCCAGACGTCGTCACACACAGTCCCCCAGCGACTTTCATGCAACACCTCCACACGGCCTTCATGGGGACCTGATCCGTTCACCAATCGCACCATAACCTCGTCGACTGCAGAACATATACAATTAGATTGTATTAAAATCTTTTAGTTTTTGCAGGCAAAGCTTAGAATTTGTAGAGTTTTTTTTTATGTTGTGGGTGTTTGAGTTAAATCCTGCAGTTAATCAAATACATAAGAAAATAAACTTGGATGAAGGCATGTTATATGCACACTGTAACCAAATTTATTTGTGAACCAGAATAAAAAAATAAATAAATAAGGTTACTTCTGGGAGTTTTTCTTCGGTCCTTGTTCCTCTAATCAAATGTACGGTTACAAGTACCTCGTTACCCTTTAAAGTTAAAGAGGACGATGTCTTATTTCCGGGTGGATCATCTATATCATTGTGCTGATATGTTTACGTAAGGCAGTCCTACGTGCTCGCCCTGTTAGCTGTTGTTTTTTTTTCAGCCGTGTATCTGTGGTGAGCTACGGTTTCAGCCGGTCATTGAAGCTCACCTTTCTCACTGTGGTTCTTTGAAAATGTCCGAGGGTCATAAGAGAAAAAGTGTCTATGAAGTGTATGAGAAGATAAGAAAGGCCTCAGAAGGGGCAGATATATCCCGGAATGCTTTGCACGGAGAGCTGTCTTAGCAAAGCATTATGGGGTTTGCTGTCACAGCGGCCAGCTGTTACCATAGGTTGTCGTTAACCGATAGCGATGACTAATGAAGATGGCGCAGACACCGTGTGGAGAAGGAGGAGTTACGTGACCAACGAGGCAAAAAAAGTCCAAACGGTCAGTTAACTGAGTTTGGTATAAAGTCCATTATATAGTCCTTGCTGTATGTGGATGCAGTAAGGTTGTATGAGCTATGAGAAAAGCTCATTTAAAAACAGGACATGCACAAGAAATAAAGGGCTTGTGCATGCTCTTGCATGTGCAGTTTTATTTAAAGTGGATAGGGCAGATCTTTTCAAATATCCTCCACAATAACTTAAATCTGGGCATAATCTTAAAGACCTGACAAAGCAGTTACTGGAGAACTTTGAAATTTATATCTTCTTGCTTTGGAGCTTCACAGAAAGCATCTGTAAGCATTTATCCAGTCAACTTGTTGAACAAGTAAAAACAGCCAGATGAACATGCATAGAGAGTAAAAAAAAAATACAGATTTTGGAGAGATATTTAAAGAGGGCATTATATATCTAAGATAAAACACATTTTTTTTAATAAATATGTATTTGTTAACATCAGCTGACTTACATTGCTGTACAAATACTTTAGCCTTTTCCTAATTTATTACCATCAAAAATAACCAAACTTTCGTTTATACTTTTTTTCCCCCCAGGAGTTTCTAAATGTATTTTTTGTTTATCTATTTTTAATTTGGTGGCTTTTTAAAATAATTTTTGGTGCACCAATGGACCATCTCAGAAAATTCAACAGTGTGTCTCTATGAGCTCAGAAAAAACACAAATACATAAAAGGGCTTGATGTGCCATAAAATTAACTTCATTTACTCAGGTTTAAACCCAATGAACATGTTTTTCAAAGGTCAAACATGCAGGATATAAACAATGCTAGAGCAGCTTTAGAATACTCCATTAAATGTCTAGAAAACACATTTTCACAAATGTTCTATATCCAAATTCAATAGGGTGGAGCTACTTTGCAAAAAGACTTCTCTAAATTTGCAAAATTGGATGAGAAATACCCCAAAGACTGTTACATTTAAAGGTGGTAGTACTAACTAAGCTTTTTTTAGAACAGCTTCCAGTTTTTTGTGTGAAATATATTTTATTTTCACTTCCGCTGTGCACCATTGCATAGCTCTATCACTTAACCCTGTAATGCCAAATGTATCATATTTGATACATACGGTTTCTGAAATGTTTTGCATCTGACACCTTTTGCATAATTTAATGGTAAAAACTTTTTCTCAAAATCCTATTGTACACAATCAGATATACCTGATAACAGAGGGCAGAAGACTACACAAAAAATAATCTTGACGTATTGCATAGTAATAAATTATTAATTTAAAAAATGTATTTCTGTTTTTTCTTTTTACATATTTTGTTAAAAGGCCAAATAAGGACTTCAAACCAAAAAAAATTTGTTTTCTGTTTTGTTTTATTCTTGGATCGGGCTTTAAAGGGTTAATATCTCAGCTGCTTATAACGTAACAAAGTATGAATACTTAAGCAACTCACTGTAACAAACAGCACTGTTAAAAGGCTTGTGTGAGTCAGTGAATTTGCTGCAATAGATTGAAATCATGAATTCTTAAAAACATGCACAGCTGCAATAATATAGCTTGATTTAGTGTAGAGAGGAAATGAGAAAGAGGTAAACGTTCACCTAGGCATGCAAACAGCTCTGTTATTATGGAATTTTCATCATTGAAACTGTTGACAATGTGCTGGTGAGTAAAGGCAGACACACCACGGACACGCCGTATGAGTCTCATCAGACCATCATAAACTTGCACTGCGAATCACTGATCTCTCATTATTCAGTCAAATACTCCATAATCACTGGCCCATCATAATTTCATACGTAGCATAACAGTTTGCCTTTGCATTTGCAGCCTATATTTGAATTGTGTAACTTCAAGCAGCACCAAAATACAAGCAAACATTTTTTTCCTGTTTCTTTTATTTCAGTCAGCCGGTTAGAGCAGAGTGGTTAGTCACAATAATTCACAAAAAAATTATATGAATTTAAAATGTGACGAAATCTGATGTAAAAGCCTAACCTCACCCCCAGAAAAAATGTAAAAACTCCCACAAAGGCGTGCTGTGTAGCTAGAATAAAAATAAAATACTTGAAATACCTGAAAAACGCTATTGAATGCTCAATCGATACAATGCTTGCAATTCCTATTCCTGGAGAGTCATGAAAATGTGCGCCTGAGAGAAATGGTTTTATGATATGTAATTATTGTTCTCTGAAGTCAGACTGCAGCGCTTTTGTCATGGTTATAAAAGTGGCTTTTGTGGCTAAATTTTAACAACTGAGAATAAATCTAGCCTCTTGCATTTCTTGTCGCCTGCTCTTTGTTCTTGTTTTCAACACTTTGTTTAAAGATGTCATCCTTTTCTTGAGGTATCAATTAAAATCTTTTTGGAGCTCTAATTCTGCCTAGGTTTGCTGTTCAGTCATTCTTTCATTAATGCCATACAGGCAATCTCGGGTATTTAATGTATAAATAATCAATAATCTTTATTCTCTTATAAGGCACGCGTCATAACAGACAAAAAAAAAAACACTTAAAACACTTGTACAAAAATATAAAACATTGTTAAAAGAAATTTCAAAACAGTTTTGACAACCATTTGTGGACAAACATTCATATATCTGTTAGGTACATAGGAGTGGTTAACAACTGGGGTGCTGTGTGTATATGATATCCAGCCAGTCCAGTCCACTGATCTCTCTTTTTTCACTGGATTTGTGATAGACTAAAAAAAAACAAAGTAACCGCCATCTTGGTACTCCCCACTCTCACAAAGTTGTGCCACAATAATGCCTGCAATGTAAAGTGATTACCATAAAAATGTAACCAATACGTGTATATTACATGTACATCTTCAATTTAGCGCATTTGGCACATCATCAGATGGTGTGTGTGTGTGCATGTGGAATATTCTTAATATCTGATTACAGTATTATTCTGCTCCATTAACACACTCATTTTGTTGTGATGGATTTGTATAATATGTTATATTACATGATTTATAGTCTTCATTGACTTCATAATGACTATGCAATGTGATGTGCCAATTTTTACTATAAATTACAGTCATCAACTGATGCTACGAAACAGCAAGTGTGTTTTAAAGTGATGATTTTTATCCAATCATTGTTGTTCGATACTGTAGCGCTTGTATTGTTTACATTCCGACTGGTCTAACTAGGGAGTAGCAATATGCCTGCCGGTGACTTTACTGCACTATGTACTACCAACGGCCTATCAGTAATCCAGTGAAAAAATGGAGACCCGTTATCGAGTCTATAAGATGGACTTTCATTGACAGCTTTGGTGTGTTCATGTGATTGTGCATGTCTGAGGATGTGTGGGTGTGAAGGTGGGTGTTGGTGTTAAGGAGTCCAAGTAGAAACATTAGGAATCCCTTCCCTCACCAGCCGGAGAATCTCAAAGTGCACCAGAAGTTATTTATCATCCCCGCAACAAGTCCTTGGACTTCAATGGGGTTTCATCGCTGTGGGACATCCAGAGACTTCTAAAAGGAAGCACTCTAACATTGATCATTGAACATCTGCATCTGACTCCTTTTAAAGAGGAGAAAAAAAGGTTTAAACCTCTCCTAGAGCAAAATAATTTATTCTTAAATCACCTCGTTTGAACAGGATCCAAATCTTGTGACCGCTGCAGATGGTTGAAACAGCTCGCCCAGTAAACCCAGACCTAAGATGAACGGCTCTTTACTGTGACAAGAAAATAAATCAGCCTCCTTACTTCTTCATAATAGCCTATGTAAGAGGTTATGAATATAGCCTGTGTTGTTCCTGTGATGGATCAAAACTCAAACAATTTATGATAAAACAGACTTTTAGCTTAACATAGATAGTCATTAGGTCATTAGTTTTACCTTTGAGAACAGGCCTCGGGAGAGAACAAAGAGGTTACATGAATAACCTAAAGAAAAGTAAACTACAGGATCTGTTAGACAGAATCAATGCTTAAATTAACTACGGTAAGTTGTCATCGTATTATTGACTTTGAAACTATATGCTTTTGCTTTGTTCTTTGTTTCCCAGCAGCAAATAACAGTAGCAGCAGAAGCATTGTCTAAACTTTTGTTAAACAAGACTACTACAAAATGTAAAAATGAAATTCTATAAATACCAGGTCATATATTTATATGTCTAGTGGCTCTTCTGACAGGAATGGTTCTCTGGGCTAGCCCCTGGCTCTGCTACCCAGCAAACCATCAAAGACAAACCAACACCACTTAAAGTCCAGTTTGAAAAATGTGTTTTTTATTATATTATTTGTGAAAAACATCAACTAAAAACTGTGAGAGACATAGAGCATAA